AAAAATTAACAGAACACGATATATCAAACAGATCCCACACATATTCCGCCACCCTGGTATCTTAAGAGGAACACTTCTCTCTTAAAGATTCCCTGAGAATAAATCTCACCTTCGACATTTTACGAGAAGTTTGGGGACGAAGAAATCATTATTAATAGGTTTAAAAATAGTAAGTTTGAAAGTGCTATTGTTTCTGTAATAAATTCCAGGTTTATCGAGGGGTAAAATATATAGATGCCAAGATGATAATTCATGCATATACGATTAAAAAACTCGATCTTCTATTGTTTTTCAATAACGTAAAGAGAATCGAAGCTTCTGTAAGCGACTTCGATCCTTTTTACGAGAGTGAGAGATTCCCGCGATGGTAAGGGAGAGTGAGAGGAAGGGAAGGGGGGAGGTGAGAGGAAGGGGACGAAGAAAGGAAAGGGGATTGGGAGAATGATAATGAATGGGAGAGAGAGTTGAGAGGGTGAAGGAGGAAGGAAGATACGAAGGAACGAAGGAGAGGAAGGAAAGGGGTAGGGTGATGAAGTATATGAGCGGGAGGAGAATTAATCCACTAACCTTTAAATGTCAAAACAAAAACAAATGACTATCTACAAGACTTTTGGTAATTCACAATATACATCCTGTCAAATATAAACTATCTAATCTCATTAATGTACACTAAAAGGAAAACAAATACTTAAAGGGGATTCCAAACGTTATAACTTTTCTATTTACTTATGAAGAAACAAATAAAGATCAACCTCATATGATCCATCTGGTGGTAATGAACGAGACTCCGATATGGCTTTTCAATAAGGTGGAAAAGAATCAGATCCTCTATAGCAGTTTCGAGTCCACTTTCAGAGAGTTTGAAGAGGTTTCCATGATGGTGTGACGAGGGAGAGTGAGGGAGGGAGGAAGGGCGGAAGAGTTATGAGAATTCTGTCTTAATCTATTTATTTATGTATGTATGTATGTATGTATGTATGTATGTATGTAATGTATATAATGTATATAATGTATGTATGTGTGTATGTATGTTTCCGGCCTGGCTTATGTTGCAAAATTATTAAGATACAAATTATTCTCTCCCTTTATGTATGTTTTTTGTATATACAACTGTATGTATAAATATATGTATTATGTATAGTCAGAGACATTTCTAGATGCTGTGTAAATTCATAAAATCATATCCACATCTCGAACTGTTGGCCAAGAAGTAGTATAAACTTTTTGGGTTTTTTTTTTTTTTTCTCCCAGTGTGTAAATAAAAGTCTTGGGCAGCGAGAAAAGTCATAAAAGAGACTTGCGAATGACTTACCGACATTTACACATAGGAATTGCATAAACCTGGTGAATGTAACGAAATTTCTTGAAGCAGTTTGTCAAAGGATTCGCACACATGTACTTGTTGCAGTCTTTGGTGTTTTTGTATTTTGTTTAGGGGGGATATTTGTTAATTAGATGTAATTGTCATTTTAAAGCTATTATGCTAGTTTTAAAAGATTTGGTTCATATTTGGTTTAAAAATAATATAAGTGAAATCAGAATCGGTATTGTTTACATTGAAGCTTGTAAAGACGGCCGGTAGAGGGAAGTGGTGCGGCGTCTCCCTAGAGCATAGAGATGTCAGATTATGAAGAAATTATTCGCTAATAGTTCATTTATTACGGCCAACGACCTCCCTTCAGCACTGACTTAAGAGAGTTACAAACTATTGAAGTGCGGCGGTGATATTCGGCCAAACCACTGGAAAATTGCATACAAAGCGCCCGGAAAATTATGGCTCATACGCCCTTACTGCGAGTTCGGGTAGTGGATCCCATTTACATATTCGGTCCGGATATAGATACTAGATTCGGTTTATGTGAGTATCATGGGTTCCGCTGCTTATTTAGTACTGTGTAATGCTGGACAATCCTCCCCCTTGCTATTGCTACATATCAAAATTATTCTCCGATATGAGACAGGGAGTCGTGGTTACCTATATCTGCATCTTTTTATTCAAGCGTGAGGCAATAACTGCGTGTGCGGGATTGACACCATATTCGGGTGTTAGCTTTGTAAATACCACCAAAGTTCAATTTCATGGCCATAAACCTTCAAATATGGGGCGGAAGCTAACTATTGATGGCAGCATTATACCACATTACTGCCTTCACCTCTCTCTCTCTCTCTCTCTCTCTCTCTCTCTCTCTCTCTCTCTCTCTAACAACTGCCTGTTGCCGCTGCTGTTGTTATTATATTGTCGTTGTTGATGTTTCAATTGTTGTTATTATAATTGTTGTAGATGTTGCTATTGTTGGTGTACTTGTTGTTGTTGTTGTAGCTGTTGTTGTTTAATTAGTCGTTTCTGTTGTTATTGTTGTTAAAATTTTTGTTGCTTTATTAGTCGTAGCTGTTGTTGTTATTATTGTTATTGTACTTTTTGTTCCTTCATTAGTGGTTATTGTTGTTGTTGTTGTTGTTGTAGATGTTACTGTTTTTGTTGTACCTATTGTTATAACTTTGTTTATACTGTTGTTGTTAGTGTTGTTGCGTTAATACTGTTATTTATATTGCTGGTTCATCTTTTTGTTGTTTTTGTTATTATTATTGCGTTTGTTGTTCTTGTTGCTGCTGCTGTTGTTGTTGTTACTTCTGTTGTTTTTCTGTCGTTGTTAATATTGGTGTTGCTTTTGCTTTTGTTATTGTTGGTTCCTTGTTGTTATTAGTATTGTTGTTGTTGTTGTTGTTGTTGTCATTGTTGTTGTTGTATACATGCTGACAAACGAACCAACACAATTCGAACCATTACATATAACAGGTCAAGGTCACACTAACTCTCCGGCCAAGGTCACACTAACTCTCCGGCCAAGGTCACACTAACACTCAGGCCAAGGTCACACTAACTCTCAATCCAGATCACACTAACCCTCAGTTCAAGATCACACTAACCCTCAGTTCAAGGTCACATTAACCCTCAGGTCAAGGTCACACTAACCTTCAGGTCAAGGTCACACTAACCCTCAGGTCAAGGTCACACTAACCCTCAGGTCAAGGTCACACTAACCTTCAGGTCAAGGTCACACTAACCTTCAGGTCAAGGTCACATTAACCCTCAGTTCAAGGTCACATTAACCCTCAGGTCAAGGTCACACTAACCTTCAGGTCAAGGTCACACTAACTTTCAATCCAGACACTAACTCTCCGGCCAAGGTCACTAACTCTCCGGCCAAGGCACAACCCTCAGTTCAAGGTCACATTAACCCTCAGGTCAAAGGTCACACTAACCTTCAGGTCAAGGTCACACTAACCTTCAGGTCAAGGTCACATTAACCCTCAGTTCAAGGTCACATTAACCCTCAGGTCAAGGTCACACTAACCCTCAGGTCAAGGTCACACTAACCTTCAGGTCAAGGTCTAACCTTCAGGTCAAGGTCACACTAACCTTCAGGTCAAGGTCAGACTAACCCTCAGGTCAAGGTCACATCAACCCTCAGGTCAAGGTCACACTAACCTTCAGGTCAAGGTCACACTAACCCTCAGGTCAAGGTCACACTAACCTTCAGGTCAAGGTCACACTAACCCTCAGGTCAAGGTCACACCAACCCTCAGGCCAAGGTCACACTAACCCTCAGGTCAAGGTCACACTAACCTTCAGGTCAAGGTCACACCAACCCTCAGGTCAAGGTCACAGCTGAAGGTCAAAGAGATGTCGTTTTAGTTTTACTTAAGTTTCCTTTTAATTAAAGTAAAACACAAGTAAAGTTTTTTCTTGGGTTTATTTACTAATGAATTGTCGATTTTTTTCAATGTTTTCTCGTTTAGTAAATGACTATAATAAAACTCGTCCAGGTGTAACTGCATGATGTTGTGTTGTTCACCTTTCTCACTGTGGTAAATACGGCTTACAAACTTGTGTTAATGGGTTACAAAGAAGTGATTTTGAACTTTAATGTGTCCTTATGAAAGTATTCACTGAGAGTTTTTGTAGGGATATTTACCATTATGTATGTTTATATGTGTGTATGTGTGATATGTGGATATCTTTGGGCAGCACTGTAGAGGGGGGAACACCATAGCAGATCATATTGTTGACAGCAGTTAAAGAAGATGGTGACTGTGGGTGGTTAGGGTGTGTTCTGGTCAGCCTGTGTCAGTGTGTATAGCTATTCCTGGTACAGCCATAGTTTGTGTTATCTACCAGACGGGTATTTCACAACACACGCTTACCTGACCACTACACTCGTGTCCCACACATAATCGAAATACCATCACGTCCCAGTATAGTTGTCACCCCCACCAGCCAGGCCCGGTTCACTGTACCACCCACTGCTGTTATGGTCCACTTAACACTTAGGATGGACCAGTGAAGGTGGACCATCCTAGAGGTGTATCCTGCAGGTTTATTCAAAGGATATTGTCACACTCCCTTCCCACAACACCTTCATACATAATGCATATGTGTTGCTAGGTAGGATATGTGTTATGTATGTGTGTCTCTATATATATATATATACGTACATACATACATACGTGTCGTGTGTGTGTGTATATATATATCTTTCTCTCCTTTCACACAGTTTCCCTTTCATCCCTCCCTCGGCTCTCCCTCTTTCTACTGTATATTTGTCCCTCTCCCCTTCCTTCCCTCACTCTCTACTAATTCTCGTCTCTCCCTCCCAGGAGTTTCTTTTCTCCCTCAGTACGTATATCCCTCCCACTATCTCCCCCGTCTTCCTCACCCTTTCACTTACTCTCCCTCTCTCCCTGCCTCTCACTCCTCTCTCTCCAACCACATTCGGCATTTAACAACCCCAATTTACCCCCTTGTTTATTTTCTCTCTCCCCCCTGTTTTCCTATTCCTCTCTCTCTCTCTCTCTCTCTCTCTCTCTCTCTCTCTCTCTCTCTCTCTCTCTCTCTCTCTCTCTCTCTCTCTCTCTCTCTCTCTCTCTCTCTCTCTCTCTCTCCCTTACACACCCTCACTCTCACTCACTCTACCTCTCTCCCACAGACCTGCCTGACGGAAGGCCAGTCATCACAGGCATTAAGAGTCAATACCTGGTTATGGATTGGGTTGACCTCACCTGTACGTCCCGGAGGTCACGCCCACCTCCTACCCTCACCTTCACCATCAACAAACAGCCGGTATGTTCTCTTATTAGTCGTGACCTCTGACCTCTTGAGCTGTGTGTGTGTGTGTGTGTGTGTCCTGAGAAGCTGTTAATACGATTATTAAATGGGTGTTAGCAGACAATGTGGTTCCTCTATGTCTTACAGTGTACTACTACTTCATCCTGATCCACGGAACTATACCGTTTCATTAAATATAAGGTAAGGCTTATGAGCAAGACGAGAGTGGTGATCCTCGCGAACATTACCAAGGATGAAGTCACTGTTTTGCTGTATTAAAGTTTATTGGGGATCACACTCAATCAGCTTGCACTGGGAGAGCTTTCACTAGAGCCATGTCTTCAGTTTCCAACATTGTCTTTATCCTGTGAGGAATTACTGACTGGGACTCAATGGACTTCTTGAAAACCTTGGTGGAGTTATGTAGAGTAGCACCCATGGCTTGATGGTAGACAACACTCCTTGGGTACTGTAGTGTACTGTAGTATGTAACGTCCACGACCCACCGACTGACTCCTGGACGGGAATGGTGGACAGGCAATTACAACTGGTTTATCCTGTGGGAAAGTAAGTAGACAGTACCCTTAGATTTCCTCTCACAAAACACCGTCTACATCAGTCTTCTGGTACTGTACATACAATTATTGAAATTGGAATTAGAGGTGACCAAGTTAGTCTCGCATGTTGGTCTGTAAGTTACTGTATTGATCCGTGTTGGGTAACTGATCAGAATCTCGAACTCAGACATGCTAGTGATGAGGTCTGACGGGAAAGGCATTGCCATGAGAGATCTGTCTAATGATAAAAGGACTTGACTGGGAAAAGGAATTATGTCGAAGCTTCGGAACTTCTGTTTGTCCATAAAGGGTAGAGGAACACCAGAATTAAACCCGGATGTACAGAAACAGATAAGAGACTAAAATAGCTCTCCGGGTAGTGTGTGTGTGTGTGTGTGTGTGTGTGTGTGTGTGTGTGATAATAATAATAATAATGAATAATAATTAACGGTTTATTGAAAGAACTTGGCAGCCAGAAGGCTGAAAATATACAGTTACATATTTGGGGAATGGGTTTCGAATTACAAATAATATACAAGTAACATAAGTGATATAAATATGATATATAATAACTAGATGGGGAAAAGCTCAAACTACAGTGCATTTCAACATAGTGACAGTGCAAGGAGTAGTGTTTACTGGGAGTGAATACACTGGTCTATTACAAGTTATTGATAATTTTTACAATGGTTGGGACTGGGCTGTTCTTATAGCGATCAGTTCGTGCACGTATGGGCTGTGTGTGTGTGTGTGTGTACATATTCCCCTCCGCCGCCATAACACCACTCTCCCTCATCCCCTCTCACAGGTATCCGCGGGTTGGCTGGAACCTCAGGTCAACCAACATGACCACGACGGCCTCAGCACCTCCTCCCTGCGGCTGCGGTTCTCCCTGCTGCCGCGCCTTCTGCAGGAGGGAGACGCCGTGGTCCTATGTATCTCCAAAATACCTGGAATCTACGAGCAGATGGTTCAAGAGGTCCTCACCACCAACCCTCCCTACCACGCCTCCGTGCTTGGTGGTGGAGCGGCCCCAGGTGGGTTGAGGGGAGGAGAGAGGGCGCGGAGAGGAGAGGTGGGGGGAGTAGGTGAGAGGGCGTGGGGAAGGGTGGTGAGGGGAATAGGGAGAGGTAGAGGGCGTCGAGAGGGGAGGTGGGGGGAGTAGGTGAGAGGGCGTGGGGAAGGGTGGTGAGGGGAATAGGGAGAGGTAGAGGGCGGTGAGAGGGGAGAAGGAGCAGGAGACCTTAAACCTCAACTGAGATTTGCTAAGGTTAAGTTAGGTTAGGTTAGGTTAGATAAGGTTATTCATACTGTATACTGTATATGTGTTTATTTATGCATACACACACACACACACACACACACACACACACACACACACACACACACACCAGTTCAGTAATTCCACATTTTTTTCACAGGACAAGCAACAACCGTGGCGTCGACAGCAACTCTTGTCATCTCCCTGTTGCTGACTCTCTGCGTCTTCCTCTCACCGCATATTTGAGTCATCACCGCGTCACTGAGTCACTTGAAATGGAGTCAGCACCCGCATGAGTCACCTATATTGAGTCAGCACCCGCATGAGTCACCTATATTGAGTCATTACCCACATAAGTCACCTATATTGAGTCATTACCCATATGAGTCACTGAAAGTTGAGTCGTCACCCTCATGAGTTACCTATAATGAGTCACCGCCTATATGATTCACCTATATTGAGTCTTTACCCATATGAGTCACTGAAAAATGAGTCATCACCCTCTTGAAACACGTATAATGAGTCACCGCCTGCATGAGTCATCTATATTGAGTCATCACCCACATGAGCCACCTATGTTGAGTCATTATCCGCATACAGTAAGTCACATATAATGAGTCACCGCCTACGATGAGTCACCTATATTGAGTCATTAATCATTGAGTCACCTAAAATGAGTCATCACCCACTATGTTCTCTCTCTCTCTCTCTCTCTCTCTCTCTCTCTCTCTCTCTCTCTCTCTCTCTCTCTCTCTCTCTCTCTCTCTCTCTCTCTCTCTCTCTCTCTCTCTCTCTCTCTCTCTCTCTCTCTCTCTCTCTCTAGTACAATTCTTCCTGACTATGTGAGTCAGTCTCGAGGTTACACGGTCAGGCCTCATAAGTCAGTACGTGTGTGTGTGTGTGTGTGTGTGTGTGTGTGTGTGTAAGTCATCACTAATCTTTTCAATCCTTCAAGTGAGTTTTAAATTTAGATTTTTAATACTCAAAATTCAATCGCTCCTAATCTATTCTCCAAGAGGTCAACAATCCTTTTCATCTATTCTAATCTATCCTGCGTAACTTGGACGGCTCCTATCCCTAGCCAGGCACTCCCAGGCTAGCTGTCACCTCGGCAACCTTGGAAGTTATACCCAAACTGTCGCAAAGTTGGTTTTAATAAGGTCATGACACGACTGAGTTCATTACAGACACCAGCCAAGTGTGAGTGTGTCGGAGGCGGAGATGGACAGAGACAGAGAGACGGTGATTAGAGAGTTTTTTCTTGTCAGATTTTCATTCAAGTTTCCCCTCAAAAGCCCCTCAGTTATCGTAGTTTATATACATTGATGTTTCGTTAGAGGCGGCATAGAATATGTATCAAGTGAAATAGATGAAACGGAATAAATGCTTCACGCGACGTATCATAAACTCCGAGATAGAGGTAATTTTTCAGTTTGTCATGACGGAAATTTTAGACCAGCGCTCCCTTTAAAACCATTGCCATATTTCTCTCTCTTGCCCCCAGTAATAAGTCTATTTGGACTGACATATATACTCTAGTTTACTGCCGGTCGCCCTTTAAGCTTCAAGTCCATTATAAGCTTGGTTCAGTTTCCTGCAAGCCACGCACGCTAGAACGATCATCGCGACACGCTCACGCTACGACGCACACCAGCTGGTCCGTCGCCTGCCAACGCTCCGATGAACTTGGCACCAAAATGATCATCCATAGCAATGGGAAACGCAACCTCATATTATTACTATTACTATTCGGTTACTTTTATTGCTAACTTTTCATACGTGTACAGGTATATTAAATGTTTGAATAACTATGAGAATTGTTGTAAATTGGATATTGATACGATATATCCTGTACAAACTTTTGAAATATGGAGGAAATGTACTAATATAAATTTTTAAATACGATTTTTTTTACGGGTTTAGAATTCTATTTGGGTAATACGAGTGCAGTACGTTGCAATAGGGGTCACGAACTGTTGCAATACGGGGCCATAAATCCTTGCAATAAGGGCTCTGCAATATGGAGTGAGAGGTAACTAGTGGAGGGAGATAGTCGCTAGTGGTGATGAAATGGTTCAATTTATTCTTAACTATTGTGATGCAAAAATCAATGGAGTTAATAATAATAATAATAATAATAATAATAATATAGAACTAACAGTCTCATTTTACTTGCAAACACACAAACACGCGTCAGCTAACAAACAAATTATACACAGAAACCTATAACAAGAACAAAAACACTGCAACAAACAAAAACCCATCACAACAAACACGTAAACAACTCTCTAATTACACAAATAACTTAACAAACACAAAAACATAATAAAGCTCCTCTTTACTACAGGGAAACAAAGAAACAAGGAAAAATAGATCCCGGACCGCTACGAGTCTCCCCACCACCATCACCTCCGTAGGGAAATTTCCCCTATAATTTCCATGTACTGTTGGCAATCTCCGGGAAAATTCACAATTTGTTGGATTTTCTACACCCCCTTCGTTGATTTTTTCTTTGTGTATATGTCTGTCTTTGTCTGTCTGTCATTCTGTCTATATTTGTGTTCGTTTCTGTCTCTCTTTCTCTCTCTCTCAGCTAAACAAACCAACACCATCAGAACGCATCACACAGAGTAGTGCGAGGGATAACTGGTCCACCTCATCTCCATTACCTCAGACTCTCGTTTGACCTCGGAGTGCTGGCCGCTGGACACTGAAAAGGATATCTTTTTGTCGCTATCTTTATACAGGTCAATAATATAGACTGTCGTTTGACCTCCGCGGAAACTGACATGGATATTTTCTTAGTATCTTTATAAAAGGAATATGGACTCTCGTTTCACATGTTCATGTGAGGACACTAAAATGGATATACTTTTGCTGTTATCTTATAGACATTATTAATTAAAACTCTTCATTAACTGCAACTGATGATAATATTGATATCTTTAGCTTGATATCTTACAGAAGGTGATAGTTTATACCCTCATTTGACCCTCGAGTTACAGTATTATCCGAAAGAACAAATTCATTCATAAACAAAACATTCAGTATTCTAGACCCTCATTTGACCACCGAAGGCAACACGAACTTATTCCGTTTGTTTACAGAGAGAACATTACCTGAGAGAAGCTCCGCAGTGCTACACCAGGACGGTCAGCTGATCGTGTTTTTGTTTACATGAAGCTGCACGCCCACTCATGCATACAGACGAGAGAGACAACCAGGAAAATTAGGGTGTATATGTGGAGGTCTCTCTCTCTCTCTCTCTCTCTCTCTCTCTCTCTCTCTCTCTCTCTCTCTCTCTCTCTCTCTCTCTCTCTCTCTCTCTCTCTCTCTGTCAATTTATCTATCTATCTATATGTTGAAGTCTTGGTTTATCTTTCTTCGTGTGTGTGTGAGACAGCCAGACAGACAGCTAGGGAGATGGGAGAGAGTAAGAGAGAAACGATAACACCTGAAGCCCCCAGTACACTCACCCCCACACACACACAGTTACACCCCCCCGTCTTGGGTCCCATAGGCAGTGTGAATATAACATACTGTACACTAAGGCTTGGGTACTAATAGCATCCGACCACCCACCTCGACTATAAATTCAGGTACCCATTTACTGCTGAGTGTATTGGGATCGAACCAGCAGACCTCTGGGACATAAAACCAGTGATGTATCTACTCAGCCACACACATACACACACACCACACACATTTATACAACTCTGAGGGGTGTTGTGTATGTCCCGTGTATGGCTCATGCATATGAATGTGAGATGTGACCTACCCTCTCTCCCTACCTTCTTAGGAGAGAGAGAGAAGAGAGGGGGAGAGAGAGGAGGGGGGGAGGTGGAGCGACAGATGGGAGAGAAAAATGAAGAGGATGGGAGGGAGGGAAGAGAGAAGGCTAGAGGAAGGAGGGATAGGAAGAGTAGGAGTGGGTGAGAAGAAAGGATGAGAGAGGAGGAGAAAGGCGAAGGGGAGAAAGGGGGAAGAAGGGGAGAGGAAGGGAAGAAAGAAGAGGAGGGAAAAGGGTAGAATGAGAGGGTAGTTTGGAAATGGAGAGAGGAAATGGGGGGAGAGAATGAGGGGAAGGTCTGAAAGGGATAGAGAAGGTATGAGGGAGAAGGAAGGGAGAAAGAAGAATAAGGGAGAGGTGGGAGGAAAGAAGGAAATATTGAGAAAGAAGGAAAGATGGAAGGAGAATATAAGAAGGGGAAGGAAGAATAAGAAAGAAGGAGGAAAGGGGAAGGGAAGGAAGAAGAGGAGAAAGGGAAGGAAGGAAGGAAGGGAAACAGGGAAAAAATGAAGAAAAAAGATGAAGGAAGGATGATAAAACAAGAAACAGAAAAGAGGGGAGAGGGAAGGAAACAAAGGAAGGAAGGAAGGAAGGTGATATAGAGAGTACATCTGACAATAAGAGTCGTCTTTATGGCGACTGACTTGAGATGAATTTTTTATTACTACTATTTCCAACCACTCTCTCTCTCTCTCTCTCTCTCTCTCTCTCTCTCTCTCTCTCTCTCTCTCTCTCTGTCTCTCTCTCTCTGTCAAATTGCCCCAAGTATCTCGACTGTCAATCTCTGTCAATTTTCCCTTAGTAAAAGTAGACAGAAAGTCCCTAGAGATTACTTGATGACTCGGGGAATAACTATTTGACTGTGTATGAAATAGATGATTGTGATTATTGAGTTATGTATGATTGTGTATGGTAGTGGTGACTGTATGATTGTGTATGTATGTATGTATGTATGTATGCATGTATGTATGTATAGAAAACAATACACTATACATGTATGTTAATAAAAATCTTGTATATTGATGTATAATATGTATAACGACCTATAACACACAGAACAAAGCCACTGTAGGCAAAAGACGGGTGATCGCTCGTCTGACGTACAAATATCCATCAAACTGTCATTTTGGAAGTGGGTGGAGGGTAATGCCAGGCGTTAAGGTTCGCTCGTGCTGGCGTAGGTCTTAGGGGTGTATGCACGTGTGTATATATTTATGTATGGGAGGTGTATAAAAGAATAATGTTGATTGTAACGTGTGGTTAGTAGCTCTCTCTCTCTCTCTCTCTCTCTCTCTCTCTCTCTCTCTCTCTCTCTCTCTCTCTCTCTCTCTCTCTCTCTCTCTCTCTCTCTCTCTCTCTCTCTCTCTCTATCTCTCTCTCTATCTCTCTCTCTCTCTCTCTCTCTCTCTCTCTCTCTCTCTCTCTCTCTCTCTGGCGTGTGTACATGTGGGAGACTAGACAAGTTTTCTATATAATTTGAAATTAATAAAAAAAAATTAAAGAAATTGGCGAGAAATGAAAAAAAAAATTATATATGTAAATGAAAAAAACAAACAAATATAAATTATGTACAGTATTAAGAAAAGACAAATGATGATAAAGTATATTTTATTTATTTATTAGAAAAGGTAATAAATTTAAATACGAGACAGATTTATTTCATGTATAAAAAAATAAGACAAACCAAAAATAAATACGTAAATAACAAATAAAATAAATAAGAAATAAAATAAATTAAATAAACATAAATAAATTGGAAATAATAAACTGTTTCCACATAATCATAAACTGTACTTTTACGTAGAAATGAAAATCAGTTTTTATTTGGTTGTAATACTTATTATTAATGCCATAATTAATATAAAAGAGGTAGGCCATATATTCCAGAAATGGGTTGGGGGGGAAAAAAAGAGAGAATAAATTATCACATGTTGTAAAGATCTCTACACACTCGTAAAATGTTATGTTATGTATGATATAAAATTAGGTTCTGTTCGTGTGTAATTCAGGTCATTAATGATATAAAATTACCTTTAATTTATTTTCATTTGAGGCAATTATTATTTTTTATCAATTTTGTGAATTAATGTGTTTTATGTTGTATATATGAGTGTATGTATGTATTATCTGTCAAGGTAATACACTCAAGTACGTTTATTTTTTGTTTATTGACCAAATATATTAAGTGTAAAAAACAAATGCGAGCGATCGTTTCATTTTACGATTCTCATTTGTTTGTAATGAAGTTTATGCTAGGATGCATGTGTGTATGTAAATTCATCATGTTTCTGAAGGTAACTCAAGTAATTATGTATTTATTTTCATTCTGTATATATCAGACACTATCAACTGTAAAAAAAAAAAGAACATCTTGTGTTGATGTTATTTCGTATTTATTTATTTTGTTTTTGTATGTGAAGGTAATGCTAGGAAGCATCTCACGCGGTGAAGATAACACGCCCACACAACAATCACTGTGAATCTAATCCCGTCTGGCAGTTACTATGTGGCAAATCCTTCCAGTAACATGTAGCTGTGTCACGAAAGATCCTCTGTAGTCCTGTGTATATAATCTCACTTGAATAACTGTGGAAATAACCGAGAGTGAGTTATCCCTGTGAAAATAATACAACCAGTTACTGTGTATTCCAGTGAGGTCATTCTTCCATAGTCACTGATGATATTCAAGTGAGTTTATATTTTAACATGGATATTAACTAAACATAGATATTAACTGAACGTAGAGATCTTCTTGTGAGAGGATAAAATACAAATTATATATTTTACAAACCAGGGTATTTAACTATGACGCTTGTAAGAGTATGTACAGTTCAGCAGTGAAAGATTGTGGAAGATCAGTGGTAAAATGTCATCAAAAGTGTTCAGAAAAAAAATAAGAAATAGATCCGACTGTAAACGTCAGGAAAACCTACAAAAAGGACAAAACTTTTAGAAAATTCGTAAATAAATACTTTAGAGACTTTTTTTTAAATTCACTTGATACATTACAGAAAAGTGATAAATACTTCACATAATTTTATGAAGAAACTACCAAAACTTTCCTCCAGTGTTGTTGTGCAGTGTACATACATAGTGTGGGAAATCAGATACACAATTTACCCATCAGACAATACCTATGCCTTATACAATGAACTTATTATAGGGCATATCGGTATATGTCATAAATTACCAGTGGAAGCATATGGTCAATGTCTTATGAGGGCATATTGGTGAATGGTCTATGTACTGAACTTCCAGTGGGGGGCATAACTATGTACGGTATGCCCCAGAAGTATTGTAGGTGAAACGAAGCATATATATGTCTCCTGTATGTACTGAACCATAAGAGGGCATATCTGTACGTATGCTCAATATACACGTAAATGCCCTTTATACTCAACTGACAACTGGAGCATATTTGTAAAATGCTCTGTAAACCGAACCTACAATTGTGTGTATGTGTGTATTTACAAAAAGCTCTACGGCCGATGAACTTGTACTATATTAATTAGAACTTCGGCCTTGTGTACAGTTTGTATTATAAAACCTTTTTGTTCCTTCCATTTTAAGAGAGAGATTTTCTTTGTTGTCTTTGTAAAAACAATTCATGGAGGTTATGCAAAGTGGTGTTCTTAGTAAGGCTCTTGTGTAGTTTTTTTTTCTCTGTATATAAACCACATATTATGACTGGACGACGTGTTAATAGTGTGTGCAGTTGAGATCAGCCAATTACAGTAAAGAGACTAAAGTATAGAGCTCTGACCAACCAATCATAACGAACCAAATAATATGTATAACTCAAATCAACCAATGGCGATAAAGAAGATAAAGTGTTTCAGCCAATCATGTTGTTGGTTAGGTTAATAATACTGTTTAATTGTTTCTAGTGGCTTTGTGGGAGTGTGGTGACCAGGGTTCGACACCAATTAAAAAAAAAATCCCCAAGAATCACTTAGACAATAACGACCTCCTGTTGAGAATTTTTACCCGGCCTGACACATCGATTTGAACTAAAAAAAAAATTAAGACATACGTTTTCTGTAATTCAATCTAGCTTCGTAATTGGTCCATGATACTCCCTCTAATAGAAGCCTTGTGAGTGGCTACTGCTCATAGAAGTCTCACATGAAACAAGCTCTACGATTGGTCCTAGGCACTATCACCAGAAAGAAGTGTTGTGATTGGTGGATGATTGTCAAAAGTCATTGTAGAAACTAGCTTATCATTGGTTATTACAAGACGAAATGCTCAAGGGGGAGGATGACAGTGTTCGTCCTTCCTCCACGTCTTCTATTCACTCTTTTCCCTTCTCCTCCTCCTCCTCCCCCCTTCCCTCTTCCTCCATTCCTCACTCTCCCTTTTTTCCTTCCTACCTCCTTTCTCACCTATACTAAACATCCCCACCTTCCCCACAGCCCCCCATTCCC